CTATTTCCTATCACGGTTTTAAAGTTCAATAAATGATAAAACGGTATTTCATGAATCAACGAATGTGTGAAATTGCTTAAGGTCGCTAATGGAGCCCGAGTCTAGTGTGTTTGTCGGTTAACTGTTATTTGGCCTGTTTACAGTTTTAAATGCAGTATGAGATTTGATGTTTTCATTTTATAGTTTCGTGTGCATATTCTACTGTTTTATTGATTATGGATTGAATGACCGGGATATTGATGCTGTATGTAATCTGTTTGGCATAAATTATCGTTTTGCTTGTTTGTATGTGATTGATAATTCTGACTGAGGGAAAAGGATAATGAAAGATTATGTAAATGGAAATTGTATACTGTGGTCAGCCTGACTAGATATCCTGGGAGATGGTGGACGGACCGGGTCCATAGGGAACCCTACCGAGATTGTGGTCTCCCATACCGAACGAGATATGGAGATCTTATGTGTTTTGGCGCCCATACCGGACAGCGTATGGGGACGGCCCGTTTCACCCTCATACCGGACGGGGTAATGAGGTCTATGGTTTGGCGTCCATACCGGACGGGGTATGGGGACGGCCCTGGAATGGATTTCAAGTGTTAAGGATTAACGGGTAGCGGGACCCCTATGGATCCCCATGAATACTAGTGGGCTGGTGAATTAGGAAAATATGTTGTGTAACGATTGAATTACGAAAAGTTTGATAGGTATTATGTTATACAGTTCATATATATGTTTTCATGATGATGATGATGTTATTGCTTTCGTATATTATTTTATGAATTTCACCGACATAAGTGAATGGTAAAGGTTTTATTATTAATAAAAGGATTTGTTGTAAATTATGCTCCATTGGTTTTTTTGTGTTTTCTACCCACCTTTACCTCCGTGACGGTGAGATATCGTGATGTCTTTACTGGGCTAGTGTAGCTCATTCCTTATTTAATCATTTCAGATCAAGAGGACATCGTTCCCGAGCCGGCTCCGCAGGAGGACGACGAAGGAGACGCCTAAAGACTCCATAGTCATATTCGTAACTTTTACTTTTAAGTTTTTCCTTTAGGTAGTTTGATCTTTTATATTTTGTGAGCACGTTTTTTGTTTTAGTGTAAGGGATGTTATTCAAATTTTGACTTCGCTTCCGCATTTGATATTTATAATATAAATTCCATTTTAAATTTCCGGGACTGCTACAATATCTCCAACATCCCTTCTCCCTTAAAACCAACAGACATTTTGTTTTGTGCTCCAAATGGGAAGCCCCAATGCTCCTGGCAATTATTATTTGAATATTTTGGCTATCTTGGAGCCTCCTCTAGAACTAGAGTTTTGTAATTTTAATAGAACTTCTAATTGTTATCTAGTGTAATTAATTTACTTTGAAATTTGTTCGAAAATTTCACATGCAGAATCCATGTTCTGTTTGCATGCACTTGTACTAAATTACAGTACAGCTCAAGCTCGGGTCAAACGTGGTCAAACCTATCTTTTAAAAAAAATGATCAGGCCTATCGTGAATCAAGTTCAAAATTAATATGAAATCATTATATTATGTGCTTACATTATCTATAAATTTCACAATAAATAATGCCTCAAATATATGTCTATATTTATATTAATTAAAAAAAAAAAGTCCAGTCCTACAAGTATAAAAGAACCTTTTGTGCTCATAAAAGAGTAAACCATACAAGATCGCATAACTAAGGGCAGATGTAACATACCTTGATGGTTGCAACAAGGCCTAACCTGCAAAAACAAAGTTTCCCATATCAGCAATACTTCTGCATAGTTTATTGATGTAGAAGTTTATTAAGTCCAATCCAGACAGAGGAAGAGAATAATGACTTAATGCATTTGATAAAACTATCAAGTAAGCAAACAAGGATAACATACTTCACATAGTCACACATGGTCCAGGATATGGAATAAACATCTAACATTGGTCAGTCCATGTTTTATACTCAAGCTGATATCCCTGCCATGGAACTCAAGCTGGACTATCCATGTTTTTTACTCTTCTTTTATATTCAGAGAGAGACCAAAAGCACACCTATCAAAAACTTACATGATTTTCCTTTGGACAGAAAAAATAAATCTTAAAAAGTAAAAAAAGATATAAACCTGAAATTTGGACTGATATTTAGTCTGCAAGTTAAGCTCAAAACTGGGAATGCATCCAAGCAAATACAAAATGAGCTTGATAATGCAAGATGAAGCTACGTGCATTATTGAAGCAAAACAATCGAAGATAAGCCTTTGAATCAAATCATGAGGCCACTACACTACATGATCATAACCAGAAAACGCACATTAAGCTAAACAATTAATGCAATAAATCCCAACTAGCTACTAAAACAAAACTATTCAAAACAAAGTTCCAAATGTAATTCATCCATTCAACAGCCAACTCACACTACAAACCAGGGGACGAAAATGCTTTCTTATCTACTTCTGTACCAAAACCCATGGAAATACTCATCACAGATAAGTGAATGCTAAAAGCCCCGTCATCACATCCCATGGTCTATACTCTCAATTAGCAATGATCCCAAAACCCTTCAATTCTTACAACTTTCTTCATAACCAACACTTTATAATCTAACACACAATACGCTAGTACCAATCAGTACTAGCAATCACATAAATCAAAAGCCCGATCCGGCTGAATATCAGAATCAGAAATCCAAATTCCCTTAGAAATTTCTCTCGGAACGCAAGAGAGAAAACGATATTTCAACTTCAAAGTGAATTGAGGAATCAGGAAGAGAAGTGATAACTACCTATCGGACATAGTGGCTATTGTCTTAAAAGCGAGGATCAGCCCCCGATCGGGGTTGGAGCCGCGGTTCTGCCATCGGCCAAGGGAGGAGGAGAGGAAGTCCCCAGATGCGCCGTTGGGCTTGGCGATGACGGTGGAGAGGCCGCCATCGGCAAGGAGGGGATTGGTAGGTCCACCAACACGAACGGGGTCATTGTCTCCCGACTCGTTGGCGAAGGTTCTCCACTCGGAGGTCTCATCGATGGAGTGCGACTCCAGCACCAGCCCGCACTCTGAACACACCGTATCTCCAGCCGAGTGGTCGAACACCACCTCCGTCTGCTTCTTGCAGTCCGAGCAGAACGCGTCCGCCATTGTCCCCTTCTCTAATCTCCCTGTCTATATATTTATATATATGAGAAGATAATTGCTATATATGTATATGCACTATACAAAGATCAAACAAGGGTTTTGCTCATATATTTCCTTTTCGTTCTCGTTCTCTTTAACAAAGCCAATAAAATGTGGCGAACGGGAGGCTGCGATGTTCATCCTAGGATTTATATAGCAGCAGGGGATTGAAAAGAAAAATTTCTGTGATCTGTTCATTGTGATGTGGTCTGTGGGACCCGCGTGAGGATGTTGATCTGACGGCTCATATTGCTTCTTGGGTTAGAAGGGAGGATGGTGCGAGGAAGTGGACTTGTTAGGAAAGTCATGAGCAATGCATGTGGGAATTTATCCCTACTCCTTAAATTTAAACTCCTTGTGTTTGGACATGAGGGGTTACTTGTCTTCAGTTGGATTGGATTATTCCTATACGGGTTTCGGATACTGGATTCTAACAGTAACGGACGGATCAAATTTGACGGCTCTGTCATTGATTGAACCCGTAGCACCTTTCTTGTATGCTCATTAAGTTACCAAGCCACTTGCGTTACGTGTGATTTGTCTACTATCCGTTACTGCAAGTTTGAATTCCAACATTAATAATAATGTCCTAATATTTTTAATTATTAAATTATAATTTTTATAAATTATTTTTATTAAATATTTAACGATGAAAAAGTAGTATTCATAAATAATATTAGAAATTGATGTAAATTTATTTATTTATTATTTATGTTATGGGGGACATTTGAAAAACCTCCAAAAAAATACAAGAAAAATATTATGGTCTTGGATAAAGGGCCCAGCACTAAATTTTACTGGGCTTGGATTAGGGTGACGGCATAGTAATGTGGGCCTCCCTCGAAATTTTATTTGTTAACTTTATGTATGTTTCAAGATATATATATATATATATATGTGTGTGTGTGTGTGTGTGTGATGGTATGTATGTATGTGATAGTTAAGTAGAAAGAAAATAATTTTTACATTAAACTTTAGGTCTGGCTTACATGAAATAAATATTTATATAAAAAATACTTGAAAATAGTCCGGAGAAATGGGCCTAAAAATTTCAGCCCATGAGGCAAGATAGAGAGGACCCAATATTTTTATTTTTGTTAAATATATTCCAAATAATGAGAGGAATTTTGGTTTAGTTTATTTAAGTTTTTAATTTATAAGTAATTGAGAATATTAAGCTTGGGAAGCTTATAAAAATCTTTGAAAAATAACTGGGGTTTGTATGTTTTATTTTATTTATATAAATAATGATTAATGAAAAATATTTGTAAATTAAAAAGGTGATAGGATAATTTTTTCTTTTTTTTAAAAAAGGCATAAAAATAACATTTTAATAGTTTAAATAAAAGTACCTCTAATAAATTAAAGAATAAACTAACCTTCTAATATGGCTTCTAACAGTACCCTTCTCTGTATCCTTATGATATATTTAAAGTTTTACTTCTAAAATATCATTAACAATAATCAAATATAAATTGTTGAAATAAGAATAATTATTAGGTGCTTTGAACTAAAATCAATAAGTGTTATTAGTTTACTTCAAGCAATTGTCAAGGATTAGGTTGAAATATTAAATTGACTCATGTACTATTTTAAAATATTTAAGTTACTCTATGTATTCTTTTTTTATAATTTTAACTCCTATATTTTTTTTTTTAAAAAAAATTGTCATTTAATCTCCAACCACTAATTCACATTATTAATAGAAGTGTTACGTGGACCCAGATTCGGAACACATCGCATTTTGATTATATTAGTATCAACGTCAAATATCATATGTGCAATAACGTTTACGTCAAAAAAATATTAATTTTTAATATTTTTAATTAAAAATTAAAAATTAAAAACATAAAATTAAAAAAAGTTTTTAAAAAATCAATACTTTATTTTCCTCAATCTCTAAGATGCTACAAACAAACTTCACCTTGTTCTTCGCTTATGCCTTTGTCATGGATTCCATCATGCTATTTTGTTCCATAGCCTGTTACATTGTCTCATCAGAGCTATGACTGTATCTCATTAAATTCTTATTTTTCTTCTTTACCCTTTAAGCTCCTTCAAGCCTAACCCTCACCATCAATGAGCTTTATAGCTTGGCCCTAAACAAGATGTACAATGCCATTGAGATTTATCTTCACTTTAATATCAATCCTAAAATGGAGTGTCTCAAAATGAGGAAGATCTTTAGGAAGAAAATATTTACTATCTTGACAGAAAAATGAGAAGACATCACTAATACCCTTTAAGGTATTCTTTTAAAATGAACATTTGTTCCTAAAGAGCCATAAAAAAAATAGCTATGCAAAGTTATATTTTGAGCTCTATTTTAATAAGAAGTTAAAAGACATAAAAATAGAATTTTACTTGCCTTATGTCATTATCTAGGTAGAGAAGATCAAAAAGAAAAAGAAGGTGATGAAGCTGTATAATCAGGAATGTCCTTACTATGATGAAGAAGGATATGGATAAGGTTTGAGCATGTGGCATTTTATCAATCTCGAGCACCTTGCAACTTTCGTGATGTTGTCCATGGACGAGAGTTTAACAAAGATTATTACTGACAATTTGATAGGTTTCTGAAGAAAAAAAAGTTATGTAAAAGAGTTAAAACACTTAAAAATACAGGTATTTATTGTATAGACCTTTTGCTATTGGTAAATCAAGCTTGATTGTCATCATAACTAATTATCTAAAGTTTATCAATATACAATTTGAAGCTCACAAGTGTATATTCTAACTTTTGATTTGTGGAGGATTTTGTTTTCCACTACAAAATAATCAATACTAGTGATCAAAGATATAGATTGCAACATTGAAAATGAAATATCATAGCATGATGATAATGATAACCACAACAGTTTTAAGAAGACAAGTTACCTTTAATTCGCCATTTTTGCTCTCTTTCAAATCTTGTTTCTAGACGAATCTATTTGATACCCTTTTCATAGATTACAATAGTTAATCATCTTATGTGGTTGATCAAGGATTTTACTTGAACTTTCTTGTTAAAAAAAATTCCATGTCACGAACTATACTTTGTTTTATAGGATAATGACCGAAACCTACTTAGATCACATAGACTCGAGTTAAGTAAAATAACTTAACTTTATTAATCATAACAGAGTCGCAGAAGTGTTACATTCCTTAAATGTAAAACATAAACATATATACGAGACTCTAAATTTTCTTATTTATATTACTAAACAAAAGTATGAAATATTAACCTTAATGTCATAGTATAGATTCAAAAATTTCATTCGTATTACCGTTCACTCTGCAACGGTATCTTCAATATCTGGAGGGTGATAGGGGGATGAGATAAAATATCCCAATAAGCGATATTATGAAATCACAATATAGTACATGCAATATATAATTTCTTTACATACAATAAAATATATATCATATCATCTTTCCAAAACAGATATACGAATTAGAAGACGAATGCAAAAATCAGAAAATAGATTCCCAATTACTTTGTTGTAGACTTCATCACTATTATAGAGGATCAATCAATTATCATACATTATGTATAGGCACATATACTTATCAGTGGTTCCTCATGTATCCGAACACGAAATGGCATACATGAGCATCTTGAAACACTGTTATCCCCGAACATGAAATGGTTAAGGCATGCAGATCAGATTATTTCCCATACACCTAAACACAAAACGGTTATGTATGGGTACAGACTTATCATTTCGTCAATACACCCGAATACAGAACGGTTATGTATGGCCACATTAAAGCCTAATATAATGCAGGTATTTTCAGAATAACTCTTTTCCATAATGAGTTATGCACATATATCAAAATCACATTTCGAAAATAAAGGTAAAATAACACTTATGTCAAAGAAAAACTTTAATAAATACTTACTTAACAAATATGACAAACAAAGTCAAACACTTTTATATTTTGTACTAAACATATGTAAAATACTTCAAAATTACGTAGACTATGAATCCCAAATATCCACTTACTTTAGATCCTTAGCAGTCACAATCTTAATTCCGGTAGAGTTCTGACTTTATTTATAATATTTTCCTCTCAAAATTTCAACAGAGTTTTAGGATGATTTTTGGTCACTTTTTCGACTCAAAGATATCCAATACAATACTCAAAAAACTAATTCGAAAATTAAAAAGAAACCGAACTTCAAAACTTAAGAAAAGACTTACTTTTTTAACGGTTTATAATATTCTTTTAATCGTGAGCCTTCATCCTCTTCTCTTTTTCTTTCTTTACTCTTACGAATTTAGCAGAGTTTTTTCAACATTTTTATCTAAAACCTCACAATACTCTCAAAAATCATACACTTCGTACTCCTTTTTTCCTCACTTTTATGTTTCTCACTATTTTTCTCTCATTCGGAATGTTTTTTCATCCCTTCTTCCGTCCTCTATTTGTAGGAGTGGGGAGCTACAGAGAAAGGTTACCACTATTTTGTCATACCATTTAGTCTAAAAGTTACAATATTTCATCATGTCACTTCATCTAAAAGGTTACAAGTTTTCACATGTCACTTCATCTAAAAGGTTACTACTTTTTATATGCCACTTTATCTAAAAGATTACTACTTTTTACATGTTGTTTTATCTAAAATGTTACCATTTTTCACATGTCACTTTATCTAAAAGTTGTCACTTTTCATTATATCACTCCATTTGAAACTTATCACTTTTCACGTGTCATTTCATCTAAAAGTTGTCACTTTTCGTTATGTCATTTTATATAAAAGTTATTACTTTTTATTATATCATTTCATCTAAAATGTTCTCACCTTTTTTCATGTCTTTTCATGTTGATTCTAGCTCATTCATCCTTATCCATCATTTTTTCGTTTGACTATAAATTATGTCTTCAACTTTATTATACATTTTCTACACATATAAATATTAAATTAAATATATCAATATAAAAAATTAATTCGAGAGTATTTTCGAGTTATCACATCCTCCACCCTTAAAAAAAAAGAAATTTGGTTCTCTAAATTGGACTTACCAGTGGTCACAAACAGATGTGGGTATTTGACCTTCATTTCCTCTTATGGCTCCCATGTGACTTCTTCAGATGAACGAAGCTGGCATAGTACATTTATTAATGTGATTATCTTGGACCGTAATATCTTTTCTTTGCGATCCACTATCTACAAGAAACTCAATATAAGATAGATTGTCCTAAAGTGCAAGGGGTTCATATCGGAGTACATGTGATG